TCAAGTGATGATTTGCTATCTAAGATCGGAGAGAACCATACCCTTAAAGCTATTACGTTAACAATTACGACACGAGGAATTGGGTTAGGTTTATGTCACTTGAACTTCATCGCTGTATCGTACCATGAGATTGTGGTACCTAGTGTCTATGCGCAATATCGCGTATTTTTCGCAGTTCTGGAAGCAAAGTTAGAAAATTTGAAAGCTGCTTATCCTCTGCCTGCCCGTGATACTGAATTAGCGTATCCATACCAAGTTGATGCTGATTTATTGCACGTCGCGCAAACTGTTACTATTGCGCCTGAGCCAATTAAAAGGTTGATTAACGCTGTTGGCATAATTAACTATGATGAAGGGGTCTACATTCCAAATGTTTCGAGAGTCGCCACAGATCTATTTCAATTTGCATGAGACACGAAAAATCATTTCTTTGGAAAGACTGGCAAAAAAAACACCTTATTCTTCTTCGGACCACCAAGCACCGGCAAAACAATGTTAATGAGATCACTTGTAGACATGCACTACAACTACGCAATACTAACAGGATTTCAACCAACATCAGCATTTAACTTTGCCAACTTGGTAACAAGAAATGCATGTTTTATAGACGAATATCGACTAACAGATAACCAATTCGAACAATGGAAACTACTCGCAGGAGGACATAACATGAATATAGAAGTGAAATACAAAAACCAACTATTAATTGAAAACTGTGGTATTGTACACTGCAGGCAATTATGAAATAGAAACTTACCTGCAATGTGGTAACACCCAAAGATGCAATCGCAGAGAGAACAATACAATATAACTTCTATCACAAAACAGACTTTATAAAATTAAACGCATTCGTGTGGGAGATATTTTGGGAAATATTTGGCAACGCGTCACTCTTCGAAGAGATCGAAAACAACATTAATGCACCTCAAAATAATACATACGAAGACTTTTATGTAAATTATGTGGACGACGACGATGACTTTGAAACCAGTATTCACTTAACATATTTATCTCGAATATAATTTGACTAAATTAAAATGTATAACCCAACGATATAAATAAATTACAATTTAATATTTAAGTTATATGTAGTCATAAATTTTAATAAAAATATGTTAATGTAGACTCATAAAATGTAAATGTTAACCTTTAATAAATGTCATGAATAATAATGAACTACTTTAATTTATATGCAAAGAGGAGCGTGCGAACAAGTAAAACCACGTTACGTTTAAAAGGTAGAAAGTACCAGGCGCAAATAAAACAAAGAAACATACAGATATAAAACCAGTATGTCCGAGGCGGGCGACGCGGCAACCGGTTTCACATTAAGATAAAATAAACCATTTATTATGTCATTTATAAAGAGCCAGAATGTGTCAAATAAGGCACGTATGGCAATTCATAATGCTGTGTTAGTCCCTACTTTAATGTATGGTAGTGAAAGTTGAGCCTGGCAGAAGAAGCATGAGAGTAGAATAAATGCTGTAGAAATGCGGTCCTTAAGGAATATGCGAGGACTGAATCTGAATGACAGGGTGAGAAATAGTGTGATAAGAGAAAAGTGTGGTTTGCAAGATGACGTTGTGCAAGGATTAAGAAAGTAATGCTTCGGTGGTTTGGTCATGTAGAAAGAATGAACGAGGAAAGAGTGACAAAGCAAATTTATGTTGCAAAAGTGAACGGCAGGGTCGGGAAGGGACGCCCTAGACGAAGGTTTATCGACCAAATTGGCGATACATTAAAAATGGGCCAGATTAGGAGTACCCTTAACCGACGAGCGTGTATGCGTAGATATAGGGATGTAAAGGACGCGAGAGAGGAGTGTCAGGATCGCGCCAAATAGAAGTCCGTACTCTCTGCTTACCCCTCTGGGTGACAGGCGTGAGTGTTTGTGTTATTTTGCTAATTATTCCGATTAAGTAATGATACGTGTGTCTTGCTAAGGTACAGTGCCTTGATTATTAAAATAGGCACAATATTTTTCTCGATCGTTAAATCCTTCATTTATACCGACATTTTGTGTTTCTTGTGCAATGTTTGTATCAACGAACATATTCGTGTCATTACCAGTCACACAATTATCTAAATAACTGGGCTGTTTGTCTGGTTTTTTTGTTGTTGTAGTTTAAATTCAAATTCTCTACGATATACGTACCACCTTGTTGCTAATATCCCAAAAGTAGCTTTGAGATTGCGACGGGCTCTTGAAAGTATGTAATTGAAAATCCGTTTTTGGGAATTCAGGTTATCTCGTGGGTATGGTCACATTAAGTTAGACATTAATGGAAAAGCTTCGTTTCCGATAAATAAAAATGGTGCTGTTTCACCATTTTCGTACAAAGGTCGCGGTGTTGGCAAATTTAGTTTATTTTCCTTGAGACGTTTGCCGAAACACTGTCACTCAGAATACCTACATCGCTGAACCTTCCCATAGATCCGACATCCAACATAATAATCCTTCGCTTGGCGTAGCTCCACACGTCATTACAGTTGAAAATATGTTTATAATTAAAAAAAGGAGGACCCAGACAGTGGAAGTACAAACGTGTACACGTGTATACCACCTATGGCACCAACACAGTGACAAGCGGGAGTGTTTATGTATTATGTACTTTTCTTCAACTTCAAACAAAGCGTAAAATTATTAAGTCTTGGAGACTGAAGAATTTCTCAAATGTTGCCGTCTTCACTCGGTCACTGTGACGTAGGCGCGGGACCCGAAGCTTATTGTCGTGCAGAACCTGCTTGACGTGCTGAATCTCGTCGGCCAGGTGCTTTCTGTCACAGATCCCTCGTGCTCACTGTAACAAAGATTTGCCCACGGTAGCTAACTGTGAAGGTTGACGGTGGGATTCACCGTTTAAATATCGGTTCGTATGGGTCTTTTTTCTTTACACAGTGTGACCTATGGTGTTGTTAGGATTTCGAATGACTAACTCATCTAGGAAAGCTAAAGAATTATTTGCCTATAACTCCATAGTAACTTGAATTTTAGAGTTTATGGAATTATGATGTTCTAAAAATGCAGTTTTCTGATGGTTCGGGTACAAAAAGTTACTGTCAACTTGTTGCACCCGCGATACAAAAACTATAAAATTTTGTGTTATTCACAGAAATAAAATGCTTAAGTTTCCAAACTTTATAAAAGTAAGACGAAATCAAAGGCAAACTTATTTCTAATGTATTAATGTATAATTAATGTAATATCATAAATCCAACATAACTTGACCCCTGAAATATTGTTACGGCAATGATTATTGATAGGTTAGACATTGTTAGGGGAGGCCAAATGAGGTTAGTTAAAGTTAACCAAGCAGTTAAAAACGGTTTAAATGGGTTAACATGAGATTTAATGCAGAAATTAAGTTTAATATGATGAAATTCGATTAGGTTAGGTTGGGGTTGGTTAGGTAAGGGTAGGTTTAGTTAGGGGAGGGGGGGTTAGGTTAGGTTCTTCTACTATACGTATGACGTATGACGTCATTCACATGGATCACTTTGTTCTCCAAATGAATGACGTCACACGTCCACTCACATAATACACCTACACCTAAATAATACACCTACACACCTACCTAACCTAAACCGGGACAGTGAAAACTTTCCACGAACGGTAAACACATTGCAATGAAGCAAAGTGAAAGGCGGGGTTACAACGCACACACGCACAAAAAAGTGGTATAAAAGGGCATGCAACGCATAAGGGAGCATCAGTATGTACGCAGCATACCATATTATAACAAGTATCAATGTAGAGCAATATTTAATCAGCGAAAATGACGAGCGACAGCGAACAACTTCAAGACACTCAGTATATCAGATCGGACGACGAGATGGACCATACCATAACGGCGGAAGACAACAAGAATTGGGACGAGGACAAGGAGGACCGCAAGCCGGGCCAAGCAGAGGAAGACAATTCACATCTGAAATCGAACAATCTACGGAGGAAATTAACAACAGATTCAGCGACTACCCATCACCAATCCCCCAAAATGATGAGAGCGACAATACAAGAGGTGGTGACACCAGCTCCACGACCGAGGACAACAGCAACTCACTGGATTGCTCAATGGGAGCGATAAAATATAATACCAACAGAAATAAAGTCAGTCCTTAGAAAGACATCGCTGACCATAAAGGAATCAAACGACACCATTACCATATCATTTACATCAGTACCGCAAAAAACTGGGGGTTTAATAGCAAGCTTGGCAAAGCTATCCGAGCAAAGGAATACAAATGTTCTGCAATTGCATGCATTCAGTGCCTTTTGGAGTACATTACTACCGGCCCTGATCGTCACACATTTAAACAAATTCTTACAAGAAGTGATTTCGAAGTTGCAAAATGTGCAACTCATCAACTTGGTCTTAGGTCTAAGACAAAAGACAAGAAAATCACAATGAGCATCCCGTAAGGAGAGATAGTGTATTTCCAGCACAAGGCACAACACGAGATATCCATGACAGACGAGTGGGTGAACGCACTACTAGAACCGATGGAAACTTACTATTCCGTCCCGAATATGAACTACATAATATCAACAACGATGAATCAAGAGATGAATCGTATCCCTTTCTAAATCGATCCAGTTTCCAAAGTGCACAAAAGCATAATCAACTTACACAACAAAATCACAACAACTTGTGCTTTTCTTATGTGAAAACTAAGCTTTTGACGAAGGAGAGGCTCAGAAATTTTTATGCAGAACGCCTGAAGGGATTGCCATACTATTTACGAGAACCTGACGACCGACTTAAGACAGCAAAATCAATTGCCAAGATTTTGGTATTTCAAGAATCAACTGAACCAAGACTGCAACGAGCGAAAACACGATGTTTAGCATTAGACCCAACAGCAAATGATCCCACCACAATATACGAAGGCTTCTCACAAATGGAAAGGTTATTAATGCAAAATAATATAGATCTATTTCAGTTGCGATTTTTTAGGGGTGCTGATTCCAGTCCCGACGAATCGAAACATTCGTTAGAATGAATTTCGACGAAAATCCTACCGGCGCTAACCGCCAACGTTACAATGTATATGAGAGCTACGGAAATCTATTTTCAGTAGTAAACAGAGGAGTTCCCCGTCCACCAAGAAGAGGATGTGGCCAGACACGATCCCGTCAGGGATATCAAACAGCGCGAGTTGAAACAAAACGAAGGATTGAAGGTGCTAAAACTACTGTTGGCATTGATGCTATGATTAAATCGACCTTACATCCTGGAGCCAAGTCAAGTGATGATTTGCTATCTAAGATCGGAGAGAACCATACCCTTAAAGCTATTACGTTAACAATTACGACACGAGGAATTGGGTTAGGTTTATGTCACTAGAACTTCATCGCTGTATCGTACCATGAGATTGTGGTACCTAGTGTCTATGCGCAATATCGCGTATTTTTCGCAGTTCTGGAAGCAAAGTTAGAAAATTTGAAAACTGCTTATCCTCTGCCTGCCCGTGATACTGAATTAGCGTATCCATACCAAGTTGATGCTGATTTATTGCACGTCGCGCAAACTGTTACTATTGCACCTGAGCCAATTAAAAGGTTGATTAACGCTGTTGGCATAATTAACTATGATGAAGGGGTCTACATTCCAAATGTTTCGAGAGCCGCCACAGATCTATTTCAATTTGCATGAGACACGAAAAATCATTTCTTTGGTAAGACTGGCAAAAAAAACACCTTATTCTTCTTCGGACCACCAAGCACCGGCAAAACAATGTTAATGAGATCACTTGTAGACATGCACTACAACTACGCAATACTAACAGGATTTCAACCAACATCAGCATTTAACTTTGCCAACTTGGTAACAAGAAATGCATGTTTTATAGACGAATATCGACTAACAGATAACCAATTCGAACAATGGAAACTACTCGCAGGAGGACATAACATGAATATAGAAGTGAAATACAAAAACCAACTATTAATTGAAAACTGTGGTATTGTACACTGCAGGCAATTATGAAATAGAAACTTACCTGCAATATGGTAACACCCAAAGATGCAATCGCAGAGAGAACAATACAATATAACTTCTATCACAAAACAGACTTTATAAAATTAAACGCATTCGTGTGGGAGATATTTTGGGAAATATTTGGCAACGCGTCACTCTTCGAAGAGATCGAAAACAACATTAATGCACCTCAAAATAATACATACGAAGACTTTTATGTAAATTATGTGGACGACGACGATGACTTTGAAACCAGTATTCACTTAACATATTTATCTCGAATATAATTTGACTAAATTAAAATGTATAACCCAACGATATAAATAAATTACAATTTAATATTTAAGTTATATGTAGTCATAAATTTTAATAAAAATATGTTAATGTAGACTCATAAAATGTAAATGTTAACCTTTAATAAATGTCATGAATAATAATGAACTACTTTAATTTATATGCAAAGAGGAGCGTGCGAACAAGTAAAACCACGTTACGTTTAAAAGGTAGAAAGTACCAGGCGCAAATAAAACAAAGAAACATACCGATATAAAACCAGTATGTCCGAGGCGGGCGACGAGCCAACCGGTTTCACATTAAGATAAAATAAACCATTTATTATGTCATTTATAAAGAGCCAGAATGTGTCAAATAAGGCACGTATGGCAATTCATAATGCTGTGTTAGTCCCTACTTTAATGTATGGTAGTGAAAGTTGAGCCTGGCAGAAGAAGCATGAGAGTAGAATAAATGCTGTAGAAATGCGGTCCTTAAGGAATATGCGAGGACTGAATCTGAATGACAGGGTGAGAAATAGTGTGATAAGAGAAAAGTGTGGTTTGCAAGATGACGTTGTGCAAGGATTAAGAAAGTAATGCTTCGGTGGTTTGGTCATGTAGAAAGAATGAACGAGGAAAGAGTGACAAAGCAAATTTATGTTGCAGAAGTGAACGGCAGGGTCGGGAAGGGACGCCCTAGACGAAGGTTTATCGACCAAATTGGCGATACATTAAAAATGGGCCAGATTAGGAGTACCCTTAACCGACGAGCGTGTATGCGTAGATATAGGGATGTAAAGGACGCGAGAGAGGAGTGTCAGGATCGCGCCAAATAGAAGTCCGTACTCTCTGCTTACCCCTCTGGGTGACAGGCGTGAGTGTTTGTGTTATTTTGCTAATTATTCCGATTAAGTAATGATACGTGTGTCTTGCTAAGGTACAGTGCCTTGATTATTAAAATAGGCACAATATTTTTCTCGATCGTTAAATCCTTCATTTATACCGACATTTTGTGTTTCTTGTGCAATGTTTGTATCAACGAACATATTCGTGTCATTACCAGTCACACAATTATCTAAATAACTGGGCTGTTTGTCTGGTTTTTTTGTTGTTGTAGTTTACATTCAAATTCTCTACGATATACGTACCACCTTGTTGCTAATATCCCAAAAGTAGCTTTGAGATTGCGACGGGCTCTTGAAAGTCTGTAATTGAAAATCCGTTTTTGGGAATTCAGGTTATCTCGTGGGTATGGTCACATTAAGTTAGACATTAATGGAAAAGCTTCGTTTCCGATAAATAAAAATGGTGCTGTTTCACCATTTTCGTACAAAGGTCGCGGTGTTGGCAAATTTAGTTTATTTTCCTTGAGACGTTTGCCGAAACACTGTCACTCAGAATACCTACATCGCTGAACCTTCCCATAGATCCGACATCCAACATAATAATCCTTCGCTTGGCGTAGCTCCACACGTCATTACAGTTGAAAATATGTTTATAATTAAAAAAAGGAGGACCCAGACAGTGGAAGTACAAACGTGTACACGTGTATACCACCTATGGCACCAACACAGTGACAAGCGGGAGTGTTTATGTATTATGTACTTTTCTTCAACTTCAAACAAAGCGTAAAATTATTAAGTCTTGGAGACTGAAGAATTTCTCAAATGTTGCCGTCTTCACTCGGTCACTGTGACGTAGGCGCGGGACCCGAAGCTTATTGTCGTGCAGAACCTGCTTGACGTGCTGAATCTCGTCGGCCAGGTGCTTTCTGTCACAGATCCCTCGTGCTCACTGTAACAAAGATTTGCCCACGGTAGCTAACTGTGAAGGTTGACGGTGGGATTCACCGTTTAAATATCGGTTCGTATGGGTCTTTTTTCTTTACACAGTGTGACCTATGGTGTTGTTAGGATTTCGAATGACTAACTCATCTAGGAAAGCTAAAGAATTATTTGCCTATAACTCCATAGTAACTTGAATTTTAGAGTTTATGGAATTATGATGTTCTAAAAATGCAGTTTTCTGATGGTTCGGGTACAAAAAGTTACTGTCAACTTGTTGCACCCGCGATACAAAAACTATAAAATTTTGTGTTATTCACAGAAATAAAATGCTTAAGTTTCCAAACTTTATAAAAGTAAGACGAAATCAAAGGCAAACTTATTTCTAATGTATTAATGTATAATTAATGTAATATCATAAATCCAACATAACTTGACCCCTGAAATATTGTTACGGCAATGATTAGTGATAGGTTAGACATTGTTAGGGGAGGCCAAATGAGGTTAGTTAAAGTTAACCAAGCAGTTAAAAACGGTTTAAATGGGTTAACATGAGATTTAATGCAGAAATTAAGTTTAATATGATGAAATTCGATTAGGTTAGGTTGGGGTTGGTTAGGTAAGGGTAGGTTTAGTTAGGGGAGGGGGGGTTAGGTTAGGTTCTTCTACTATACGTATGACGTATGACGTCATTCACATGGATCACTTTGTTCTCCAAATGAATGACGTCACACGTCCACTCACATAATACACCTACACCTAAATAATACACCTACACACCTACCTAACCTAAACCGGGACAGTGAAAACTTTCCACGAACGGTAAACACATTGCAATGAAGCAAAGTGAAAGGCGGGGTTACAACGCACACACGCACAAAAAAGTGGTATAAAAGGGCATGCAACGCATAAGGGAGCATCAGTATGTACGCAGCATACCATATTATAACAAGTATCAATGTAGAGCAATATTTAATCAGCGAAAATGACGAGCGACAGCGAACAACTTCAAGACACTCAGTATATCAGATCGGACGACGAGATGGACCATACCATAACGGCGGAAGACAACAAGAATTGGGACGAGGACAAGGAGGACCGCAAGCCGGGCCAAGCAGAGGAAGACAATTCACATCTGAAATCGAACAATCTACGGAGGAAATTAACAACAGATTCAGCGACTACCCATCACCAATCCCCCAAAATGATGAGAGCGACAATACAAGAGGTGGTGACACCAGCTCCACGACCGAGGACAACAGCAACTCACTGGATTGCTCAATGGGAGCGAGAAAATATAATACCAACAGAAATAAAGTCAGTCCTTAGAAAGACATCGCTGACCATAAAGGAATCAAACGACACCATTACCATATCATTTACATCAGTACCGCAAAAAACTGGGGGTTTAATAGCAAGCTTGGCAAAGCTATCCGAGCAAAGGAATACAAATGTTCTGCAATTGCATGCATTCAGTGCCTTTTGGAGTACATTACTACCGGCCCTGATCGTCACACATTTAAACAAATTCTTACAAGAAGTGATTTCAAAGTTGCAAAATGTGCAACTCATCAACTTGGTCTTAGGTCTAAGACAAAAGACAAGAAAATCACAATGAGCATCCCGTAAGGAGAGATAGTGTATTTCCAGCACAAGGCACAACACGAGATATCCATGACAGACGAGTGGGTGAACGCACTACTAGAACCGATGGAAACTTACTATTCCGTCCCGAATATGAACATGTTTTATAGACGAATATCGACTAACAGATAACCAATTCGAACAATGGAAACTACTCGCAGGAGGACATAACATGAATACAGAAGTGAAATACAAAAACCAACTATTAATTGAAAACTGTGGTATTGTACACTGCAGGCAATTATGAAATAGAAACTTACCTGCAATGTGCTAACACCCAAAGATGCAATCGCAGAGAGAACAATACAATATAACTTCTATCACAAAACAGACTTTATAAAATTAAACGCATTCGTGTGGGAGATATTTTGGGAAATATTTGGCAACGCGTCACTCTTCGAAGAGATCGAAAACAACATTAATGCACCTCAAAATAATACATACGAAGACTTTTATGTAAATTATGTGGACGACGACGATGACTTTGAAACCAGTATTCAATTAACATGTTTATCTCGAATATAATTTGACTAAATTAAAATGTATAACCCAACGATATAAATAAATTACAATTTAATATTTAAGTTATATGTAGTCATAAATTTTAATAAAAATATGTTAATGTAGACTCATAAAATGTAAATGTTAACCTTTAATAAATGTCATGAATAATAATGAACTACTTTAATTTATATGCAAAGAGGAGCGTGCGAACAAGTAAAACCACGTTACGTTTAAAAGGTAGAAAGTACCAGGCGCAAATAAAACAAAGAAACATACCGATATAAAACCAGTATGTCCGAGGCGGGCGACGCGGCAACCGGTTTCACATTAAGATAAAATAAACCATTTATTATGTCATTTATGAAGAGCCAGAATGTGTCAAATAAGGCACGTATGGCAATTAATAATGCTGTGTTAGTCCCTACTTTAATGTATGGTAGTAAAAGTTGGGCCTGGCAGAAGAAGCATG